CTGGTCTCAAGGGTGGCCAAGTAACTGTCCCAGATGTCTGCACGCAAACACTGCTTCATTGGTGGGTCACAGCAATCCTGTTTCTGGTCAGGTGCTGGTGCTCTTTTTTGAGCATTTCTTAAGGTTGTTAGTTTTTTACCCATAACTTTGCCTCAGGCTAGTTTGTTAAAGGAGACGCTGACATTGACAGGGAAGTCCTACTTTTCAGAATATTCAAGCCTTTCCAGTCCTCTGACACTGATCCTCTTCCTTTATTTACCTGTAGCAACAAAGATAAATATACTCTTAGTTGTTCTTCGGTAAGAACTGAGGAATTAAAGAGCATAATGCATTTTCAAATCGTTTACTTAGGTAGCTGCTTCAGCATGCATAGGATGCAAAGGAAAAGGTAAAGGTATGTTTCCTGATCTTTTTATTCCTTTACCTGTTCCTTTACATTTTTTAATGACAATTATTTGAGATTTGTAGAAAAAAAATCAGTATTACAATATTTTAGTATCCTTAATAAGAAAACTGAGCTGAGACCTATCATTCAGATATCATTAATGGGGTGAAACAAGCATACCTTAGTTCATAGTTTAGCTTGTCTTCATTTTAGTTACACTGTACAGACGCTTTTCTCTGTTTATGTGGGTAGGCTTGCATGAGTTGTTAGAAATACCTTCTGTGTAGAATCTCCTTCTTTTCTCATCCTTCAGTGCAAACAAACAGTGCTGTTAAACTTGTGTCTTTAACTTGGGTTATACATTTCCGTGTTTTCAGGGCATTGTTATAATGCAGTGGGCTGTGGTGCTATTTCAAGCATTGCCTTTTGAAGTTCCTGAGATATCTTTGGATGTGGTTGAACTTTAGGTAAGCAATAACCTACAGTAGGCGATGACTTCATCATGTTCAGATAGTAATCCGTTTATAATATAGAGGAAACCTGGTATTCATTTTAATTTTGGATACATCAGTTATAAGTTTGTCCTAAATGGAAAAGGTTATTGAATGGGTAGTCTTAATTGGTAAAGAGTTTGTGTTCTATTTGTCCCAGTCAGACTTTTACAGCATTCATCAAGCTTTCTGAAGACCTCTTTAGAATCTCTTTTAGAGGTCAGCTGGAAGAGTCCATATTTATACTAACAAACCAGGTTTCTTCTTTTACTCTGTCAAATCCTGGAGTGCAAATCTGAATATTTGATATAAAAACAAATAAATTTATCTTTAGCCATCGCATAAACCATGCTTAAGGTGTCTTGAGACTCTGTGTTTATACTCTTTACTTTTGTATCATTAATTCACTGAACTGTAGTTCAACCCATTTGCTGTTTACATTAAGTTGTATTTGATGAAAGCTTATGGGGCATTTTTTATGCCTATATCAATTATTTCTGTCTGCTTCATGACAATACGCTTTGACAAAAAAGTATTTTGCACACATCTTACTGGGACAGCTGTATAGCTGGAAAAGCTGCGTACGTTACAGTATATAGTAGTCTGTTCAAGATACTCAGATGTTGACTTCAGCTGAGATTTTATTTTCATAGGTATACATTATCAACATTTCTTGTGAGAAGGCTAACCTATTACCTATGTTATATACTGTAGTAAAACATTTTTCAATATTTTTTACAGAACATTTATATTCTGTTTATTTTGTTGCCAAAATATTTGTCTTGGAAATTTAATTTAAAAAAAAAAACAGTTATTATTCTAATACAGTAAAATATACTTAACTAAAGCAACTATGTTCAATATGCAAACGTTCCTGGCTGATTTATCAGAAATTAATCAGAAATCATGATTTTGGCTATCATTTTAATTTATGAGTCACACTTTGTCAGTTTATTCAGTGAATTTTTTTAAAAATGTAAAAAATCTTAGTCAATTTTTTAAACATCCCCTGAGAATGTTAAATTTGTCCTCATTTCCTCTGTACGCTGTTTTTTTGTGCAAGCTTCCAACATGCACAGCAGTGTATGTCTATTCAGTATGCACTCAGTGTAAATATCAAGGGGAATTTACAATGCAAAGAATGACCCATAGTTATTGGAGCACACCTGTTCCAAAACCATTTCATGGGATGTGAATTGCATTTGTTTCTGACAAACTTAATTTCAGTTTCTAATGCTTTTTATTTTTATTTCACACTACTGTAGTAGTATTGTGTAGCAGATCTTAAAGTAATCTTTCATTTCTAGCACTGGTTCTAGGTGGGACTAGAGTCACAGTTTTTAACCCACAAGTATAGCATTTTTCAATATTGTATAGTACTTTATTAACAAGTGAAAAAAAATATTTCCCTCTGTTTTGTAATAATCATGTCAATGCATAGTAAATTTGAAGAAATATTACGACAGTACTGAGACTAAGTAACACTTAAGTAATTGAGACTAATAAAGTGTGAATATTTCCCTGCTAAAACCAGAAGCATGTTAAGGAAGCACTCTAAAGAACAATTGAGCAAATTCTAATAAGTGCTTTAGTAATGCCATCAAGATTACTGTTATATATGTACTTAATTAAGACACTAAACGCAGTCATTCCCTTTTATTGTAGATAGAACATAGCTCCACATAAAATACATTACTAATAATTGCTAAAATAACTAAAGATCAAAGAAAACATTTTCCCAAAATGTAAATGTTAAAGTTTGGATGTCTTCCCTTGTGGCACACTAAACCTCTTGCATATTTTAAATGTTTAACAACAGTTTATGTGAATCCTTCCAAAGTGACAAATAAAAAATTTTACAGTGTGATGGCCATGTTTATGTATTTATGGTTTTAATATGAAAATCAAGATAACTCATTTTGATACACGTGGAGTTACAAATGAACCTAATGTCAAATTTACTCAGACTGTTGAAATGAAAATACAGTGTGAGGAAAACAATAAATAAAAAGTGGCACTTAATATCTTCTGATTTTATTGTTAGGTAGTAATAGCATTTCAGTATTTTCACTTTTTTTTTAATTTGTAGCATTTACTCTGTACTCTCCAATACGTGCATTATTGACATTTATACTCTCAACAGTAATCCGTACAAAATAAACCAGAATTAACACAATGTTATTGAAATACAGATTGGTTATTGAAAAAGTACTTTTCAATTTTACATGTTGTATAATTTTTGTATGGCGAGGAGTGACTATTTATACCATCATTATTTACACCTCTGAAAATGCTAGGAAGCAAATGCAGCCATGCACGATTTTATGTTAGCTGCCAAATCCAGTTTCATAAGAGTAAGGCATCTTCACAGTCACTTCCAATAGGAATAGAAGCCTATCAGAAAAGACTTGCAATGGGCAGTAATCAGTGTTATACGGACAGTGTTTAAAGTTAAACTTTTGGGCTCCAAAATCTTTTTAAAGATTCTGCCCTTTAAAATTATATTTCATTGCAATTCCTTAAGTTGACCACCATTGTAGTCCTGTCTCTAACATGTATTTCGGCAATTTTCTTTTTGATTTCTCAAAGGAAAGGTTATTATTACAAACGCGATGTAAAGTACTGTTCTTCAGATCTATTTTCCTGGATTGCTGCATGTAAAAATAGTTTCAAAATCATAGTTGATTAGAACTGATGGCTGTAGCAGATTTACCACGCTGTATTGGATGCCCTCTGCGTTTTCTTTAAATTTTGAGATGTTTTTCATCCTTTCACTACTAGCCTGCTCTGTCAATACAGCTGCCAATAATCAGCATGACATCTGTGTGAAGCAGCAGCCATGAAACCTCTCCAGTGACTGCAGAGGTTCCAGGAAGTCACCTGGCTCTCCTCTGTTTTGAAGAGAGGTGCTTGAGAGCAAAGCTCTCTTCACTCGAGTAGGTATTGGAGAAGATAAAATGTCCTAAATTCTCCTTCACTATCAGAGTAAACATTGCCTGTTGAAAATTTTCGATTATATTTTTTGAGGCAGCAGTGAAATGAAAACAAATTATACAAAAACAAGTTACATAAAGAAGAGTTTAAATTACCACATGTGTTTTCTGAGGATTTTTGCCTCAGCCCTCTCCATAACTATTTTGTTGGTTTCTTTTGTCCATGTTTTACAAACATTTTAGAGACTGTATATATTTATATTATTTTGCTTTCTTTCCTGCGGTCTAAACCTAAAAGGGTTTTAATGCAAAAACCCTCTTAGTGTAGGATTGGATTTTTTCAATACAGAAATATTTTGAGAAAAAAAGGTGAACCATTATGTAGTTGTTAAATATAGTGTAGAATATATTGAATTCTTTGAAGTCATGTTTTGTGATTAATTAGAATTGAGTTAAGGAAACTTTAATCTCCTACGAGAACAAAGTACTTTTAAGAAAGCTATTAAATGTATAATGAAATTCACTAAGTGTAATGCAGTCTCTTTATCGCTTCTCATTGGCATGATCTGAATGTTTAAACAGTAAATGAAAAGAAGTGTTTAATAGAGACTGACATAACATTGTCAATGATTTGGGTCTAAAGAGGCTGTAAAGTGCATTTCCTTACTATGAAATAGAGTCAATTAATAATTCTAAATAATTTCATAACCTGAGACATTGTCTTGATTTAGTGTAATGTTAGTCAATGTGGAATTAACCTAAAGGAATATATAGAGAATAATTATGTAATAAAACAATGTGATTTGCCTAATCTGCAATATGGGCATTAGTTAATAAAATCAAAACTTTTCTGAACATAATAGGTCTTGCAGACTGCATCTCATAATTGCCCATGATGGATTTTGCGGATGATCTTTTGAGAGGCCTGTTTCTCATCCTCATTTCAAGTGCCTGAAACATTTTGTAATTGTCTCATTGACAGTGGTGACAGTTTTAATTGCTTTGTAATGAATATTTTATGTTCTATTTAAGTTATATACTTGCGTACTTCATTTGTCTTTAGCTTCATCGACTGCTAGAGAAACGTCATTTTAATTAAAGGTTAACCAGATGGACATCTCTAAGTCCCGACTCCCAAGTCAATCAGAAGCACTTCTCTCCGTACTTAATTGCTTACTTTTTGTCTTTCAGAGTGATTGAACAGCTTGGTGGAAAGCAGTTAGTAATGAACCACATGCACCATGAGGATCAGCAAGTCCGCTACAACGCGCTTCTAGCTGTGCAGAAGTTGATGGTGCACAACTGGTATGTTCTGCTTAACACATGACTTTATGCTTGCCTAAGAAAACCATTGAACAGTATTGCAGAACTTTTGAAATTAAGGACAAATCCAACCTGGTGTTGTATACCGTTTTTTTTTTTTTAAATGCGGGAGATTGTTAATGGTCACATTTTAATAGATCTTCTAATCTTGTTGTTGTCAATTTGCTTAAATTTGGGCACAGTAGTTAAGTGTTTAGCATTGCTGCCCGTGAGCACTGCGGCACAGGGTTCAATTCCGGAGCTGGAATGATATTTGTGCAGAGTTTGTGTGTTCTCCTCTCGTTCATGTGGGGTTCTTCTGGGTGCTCCAGTTTGCTATCCCAGTCTAAAGACATACTGGTGGGTAAATCAGTTTCTGAGAAAATTGGCCCTGGTGTGCATTTGTGTGTGTTCTGCGATGGACTGGCATCCCGTCCAGTGCTTTTCACAGTGCTTGCTGGGATGAATAAGTAAAGCAGTTATTTTCGATTTTGTATTTATTTTGTATGTTGTTGTTTTGGTTCTGGTGTTTTTGCTCTGAAAAGGTCCCATCTTTTGTAATGTTGGATTATACACCACCCCCTACCCCCATGCATCATCATGAATCTGTTAAATGCGAAGGAATACATGTAAGGAACTGAGAAGTACAGTTTCCTATCCCTTTTGATGTGGGAACTGCAGTTCTTTCATTTTTTCAGAGTGTGTTGAAGGGTTGCACATTTTTCACTATATGTGGAAGGGTATCACTGTGCCTCTTTCAGAATGGAGGTACATAAGAGTTTTATCCTTTACTGATAACATAAAGGGGCACATCTCAATTAATTAAACAACAAGTAATCTTTATTCATCTTTCATAGCAAGCAAATCCACTATCAGTGACAGAACGATTCTCTAACCCTATAGAATTTCCCTATTCCATATATTTGAGCTTTCTTAAAAGCTGTTTTGGTAGATAAACCTCCTTTCACTTGGTGAACTGAAAAATACTTAATTGTTGTCATGGAAACAGCTGTTGTTAAAGGCTTTTGAGGTCAATATATATAAAGACTGGTTTCTCCGTTGCCTGAAGTATAGTGGCAATTCACTTTTATTGAATTGTATTTTATTAAGCCATGTGGAATAAGGCTTAGTCTTGTTGATTTTTTTCCCATCATAGTACAAATACACATAATAGATATAAGGTTGCTATATGGGAGTCTTATTGTGCTGTGTACAAACTTTAGAGCTGAATTAACAAAAGTGGAAGGAAAGCTTGTTTGAATGCTATTTGCAGTCAAAATAAAGAGCCTTAAAAAAGAACATTGTAAGTCACAAATGCACAAACCATGCTGCAATTGCATTTGTTGAACCACTTGGGATACTGTTTTGTTTGCTATCCTGTCACATTCCACTTGACTTTCAGTAAACTGTCTCATTCCTTCAATGTCTGCTTTTCTGAAGTTGTAAATTTTTGCTTTGAACTCAACCTAAAATATACTTCGGAGGACACAATTCTATCAATACAGATGCATATGGTTCTCTCACCTCTGTTTACCTCACCGTTTAAGGTGCTCTGACAAATTGGATAAGTAAGGTATCCTTAATAATTGCTACGGTTTCAGTTTCATAGGAAACATTTTGTATCTCATCCTGTTCTTCCAAATTCAAGCTGGGTATTAAGTCTGAAAATGCCCATGCATGTTGAAGAATGGTCTAGCAAAGTATAACCCATACTACAGCATGACCTTTCTCTCTTCATTTCTCAAGATATCAATCCCCTCTTTTTCCACATTTCACCTGTCCCACCCCATCTCCACTTTTCACTCTGCAGGTGGTCCCAGCTTCCTCGTCCTCAAACGGGGGCATGGGGGGGGATTCAAGAGAGATGCAAACACATATTTGGTTTTTTTCATAATATCACCAATCTTAAATCTTTGCTGTTTATTGTCTATATAATGCCAAAGAAAGCTTTTCTCAAACACGGACGTGTCCTGTCCTTTGGGTGGCTGCCTGTGTTGAGTGTATATTGTATGTACCACCTGGTCTCCCTCCCACCTCCTTGCTCCTCGTTATGGGTGTGTGTGTGCAGTGTCCCAAACCAGGACATTCTTGGGGCTTGTAAAACCAAGTAATTCCACACAGTGCATTCTGACGAATTGTAACAAGAATATGTTCTTTTCATTGTATTGTCTGATAGAGTATGTCCCCAATACAAATGGTGATGCACAATAATGTAATAGTGTAAAACGCTTGGCCACACACTACTCAATTGCAGTACATCTTATTACACATTTTTTCACACAGATGTGCTAATCTGCCTTTCAGCCATGCTGTCCCACAAGTCCTGCTAAGCCCTTACTATACATTTTGACTGTTAGCTATGAAATGAGAGGAGAAAGACAAAAGGCAGATATTTACAATACTTTTGGATTTTGTGAGTACATTTATTAATTATACATTTCTAAAATAATTTAAATTATTTAAGGAAATGTATGCCTACCAAGCACAAAATTTAGTTTTTTTTATTCAGAGTGTGAGCCAAATACATTAACACAATGTATATGTTACATTATAACAGTGAATTGCAATATGAATTAATTAATATATATTAATCTAGGTATAATGCACACTTCAGTAATGTGATCACTTGTATCTGCTACAATGTGTAACCCTGTCTTAATGTTTCCCCATAGCAGGCACTAGCTACTAGCTCTGTGCAGCCTGGCTGTGACATCTTGCAGATACCTCCCATCACTGGCAGCTTCACCATTGGTGGTCTGTTGTAACAGGCATGCGTGCAAAAAAAATTCACATGTGACCCCCTTTTTTTAAAGTTAATTTTACAAAAAAAAATAGAAAAACCCATGAGAAAGTTTCCAGAGATGTTCACAGCTCAGGAGTACTGCAAGCTAAGCGATCTAACTACCAGCCCAGTGTGAAGTCTCTTCTCCTGACACCTGTGCCTCCACCTCATCACCTAGTTAAAACTTTTATTTTCATCTGGCCTCTTTTTTTTAAGTACCTGTTACGATGTCTTTAAAGATGTGTGTCTGATATCTTATATTTATAATCAAAATTTTAAAATGATCTGCTTTGTAATTACTATTCATACACAATTACTAATAATGATATATATTGTACACAACTAAAAATGATAATTCTATTAGTGTCATAAAGTACTGTTACATCACATTTAGAGCTGTGGTAACAACATGGTAACAACATCCTGTCTCAACAATGTAATCATTGTTTTTAATGAAATTGTTTATTGGTAGTGTGCATACATGCTTAGCACAGGAAAGCACTAATGGGTTAATAAACATTCAATATGGTACAAATGTGGCTAAGGATCTCTGCCTGTGACTGGAAGGTTGCCGGTTCAAATCCCATGTCCGGCAGAGAATTCCTACCCTGTTGGGCCCCTGAGCAAGGCCCTTAACCCTAACTGCTCCAGGGGCGCCGTACAATGGCAGACCCTGTGCTCTGACCCCAAGCTTCTCTCCCTGTCTGTGTGTCTGTGTCTCCATGGAGAAAAGCTGGGTTATGCGAAAAGACAAATTCCTAATGCAAGAAATTGTATAGGGCTAATAAAGAAACATTATCACATTATCATTATCATTAAATGTGTATGTCAGCCACACACAGCTGCAGTACTTTAAGGATTCACTGTGCCGAATGGCAGTTTTACAGAGTAGTGCAGTCCTGGATCAGATTACTCCCAAAAAATAAGAAAGGCATGCCACAGTGCTGTTCAGTACACTGTAGTGCGTTCTGCGGCATCCTGACTAATGCTGCGCACATTCTAGATGGTTGCATCTGTACATGACAAATCTTATGTACTTTGTTGTCCCAGACCAGATGGGAATTGGGATTTGCAGGCAGGAAAAACACAATCAGATGTTACTTACTGATACTAAATATTAATTCAAGCAAGAATTAAAAAGATTAAAAACTTAGATCATCTGTAATAATTCCTTACCTGCCTGTCTTGATTTCTATCCATACAGTATGTAGCACAACTGCAATTACAATCATAAACAAGGTTAAAATGATCCACCTTAATGGTTGTGTAATTTAGTTTAACTGATTTATATCAATTTCCCCTTCAATATATACTAAAAATATATCTGTTTCCATGGTCAGTTACAGGTGCTAAAAACAACACAGGCAGAAAATGAAATAAAAGGGGAATGTCAGCAGCAGAAACTAAAATGACAGCCGTAGTTAATTACTGCTACTGCTTCCAAATAAAACATTTTGAATTTCAGAAGCACACTTTGGTTCAGAGGAGTAGAATGACATATGATCAAAATGGAATCAGAAGAAAAGGGAACAGATCAATTCAGCAAATCAAATTGAGGAAATATAAGGGCAAGAAAAGGGCTTTATACAAGTACAAGTACAAACAAAACATTAACTATAAATACAAGATAGAAAACACAGAAAGAAAAGAACAAACTCGATCCATTTTAACAGCAGGACATTTAAAAGAAGAAGATCACTTTATTGGCCAGATACAATTTCTTATATTAGGAATTTGTCTTTACGCATACCCCAACTTTGCTCTCCATGAGACACACAGACAGAGAGAGAAGCTTGGGGTCAGAGCGCATGGTCAGCTATTTATACGGCTCCCCTGGAGTAGTTGGGGTTAAGGGCCTTTCTCAGGGGCCCAATACAGTAGGATTCCTCTGCCGGCCAAGGGATCATACCAGCAACCTTCCAGCCACAGGGACAGATCCTTAGCCACAGAGCCACCGCACCGCCCAATGATTACTGAGGCAATCTGAGTGAATTTGGTCAAGGGTACTACAGAAATGTCCCACCCGGGATTTAAAAGCCTCAATCCAGAGATGGATGGTGCCAGTTCCTCTAACTGTAAGAATATGTCAGATCTATATATATATATGCATATATAAATGAGTAGATTTACACTACTTTTTTTTGTCACTTTCCTTTCTCATTCTAACGGTGCTTTATTTTCTTATAAAATGGAGAAATCTTGCAAATGTCAACCTTGATCT